GGAGGGGGGTGGGGGGGAGGGGGACAACAGATGTTCATTAGACGGTCGTCTCAACGATGCGGTCAGACGACGAGGGAAGTGGAACGTACCAGACTTCTCCGCTCGATGAAGGTGTAGGTGATGGAGCAGCCGCTCCTCAGCTGGTTGTCCATCTGCGGGGACGACAGACAGCACAGGTGAGCACACGCCCCCTGTCCACAGCACAGGGTGTTACACATGTGTGTGTCGGGACACAGACCAGGTTCCTGACTGTGAGCAGGTGCTCCCTGGTGATGGAGTGACGGCACGGACCGGGACCCTCGGCCATGGTCACAGGGACGCTCAGGAACATTAGCACAAACAGATACTTCACCTGCAACTACAACAGCTGAGCGTTAGTCACATGGTACCTCAGTGCTGATGGTACACACACACACACACACACACACACACACACACGTATAGTGGCCTCAGTCCCTCAGAGTTTGAAGGAGTTCACAGTAAAAATAAAAATATCAACGTGTGTTAGTACTACACTGTGTACTACTACAGTACTCTGGAGTTTCCTCTCTCCCTCTCTCTCTGATCATTTGATCTTTCTGCCCCCCCTCCTGCCCCCCTTCCTGCCCCCCCTCCACAGCTGAGTTCATCTTCACAGTTGAAGTTGACCAACATTCCTCAGAGAACAGTGTGCTGCTAATGTGGGCCAAATGGGAAGGTCCGGCCCGCGGGCTTCACCGAGACACAGTCCTCCACCTGGCCCCACGTTGGTGGGAAACATTTAGTACTGGGCACAGATGGAATTCTGGGTATTTCAATCTTTAGGAAGCACCCCACGTAGTACACCATGTGGGCCGTAATTAAGACAGTGGTCCACCTTCATCATCATCTTCATCATCATCATCATCATCATCATCATCAGTACTAAAATGATGGGTTAGAACCCACAGCTGGAGCCCATCAACCAGTACTACTGTACTGTACTGTACTGTACTGTACTGTTAGCAGTACTTCAGTATAGTAGTCTACTTCGTAGACTGTAGTCTGTAGACTGTAGTCTGTAAACTGTAGTCTGTAGTCTGCGGTCTGTAGTCTGCGGTCTGTGGACTGTAGTCTATGGTCTGTGGACTGTGGTCTGTGGACTGCAGTAGTCTCAGTAGGTCAGGACCTGTGGGTTCTGAGGCTCCAGGTTGGACAGATCTGGGTCCAGAATCTCCTGCTGTGGTTTCAGGTTTAAAGTTTCACCTCCGTCGAAGGGAAAACAAAACCATCATGAAGAAAAGTCTGAGCCGTTCTCAAAGACCGGTCGTCAAACATCACAACAACATAAGACGACGGCATCGACTATAACAGAAAAGGTCACCAAGGTCAAGGTGACGGTCAGTCAGGTGACGGTCAGCTGTGGTGATGAAGACTGTGGACGGAGGAGTCTTTTATTTTGAAGGAGAAGCTGCTCCTCTCTGTGACCTTTTCACCTTTTTACAGACGCTCCACAAAGACCTGGATCTTCATGAAACTCTTCCCACGAGTCCAGAGACCCAGACCTGGACCAGGTCTTCATTAATTCAGTCAGTTCTGGCCAGTTGTGTACAGTTCGTAGTACACAGTTCGTAGTACACAGTTCGTAGTACACAGTTCGTAGTACACAGTTCGTAGTACACAGTTCGTAGTACACAGTTACCGTGCGGTTCTAACGTTTTTCTCTTCTTCTCTGATGATGATTTAGTTGAAGCGACCAAAGTTCATGGAATAAACGACAGTCAGTGAACGCAGCATCTCATACTCAGAGCTGTGGTTCTGTGAACCAGACAACAACACAAAACAACAGCAACAACAACAACAACAACAACAACAGCAACAGTTCCCTCTCGTCACCACTGACAACTGAATCCAGAAATGTTAGTGATCTCAGAAATTCGTTTCATCTTAGACAATCATTCTGTTCTACTGTCAGCCACTGTATCTTCATACATCGGTTCCACAGATCGGTTCCACAGATGCGGGCCCGCAGTCAGTTCCACACATCAGTTCTGCTTCTGTAAAGTTCTCTCATGTCCTCAGAGGAACCCAGTCGGACCTGATGAGGTCCAGTTGTGGTCAAACAGTGCCCTCTACCAAGGAAAGTTGGCATGAAAAAAACTGCGTGCACTAGCGCCTCCTGCCGTCAGCTGTGACTTCCAACAGGCATCTTCTGGCAACCGCGGCGGTGAAAACAGATCCAGATGGAAGGCTGATCCGGTCCGGTCGGTGACGAACCCGTGCTCCTCACACGGTCCACATGGAGTCGGCGCTGAAACGTCGACTGCAGTGCATCCTGGGAGTTTTTATTTTGATGTGAGTTGAAAGAAGATTCGACACAGTTCCTTCTTCAGTCGAAGTTCAAAAATAACGTGCTGATAGCTGACGTCGGACACGCGCGCGCCCGCGCGCGCCCGCGCGGGCCCGCAGCCGTACATGTGTTTGAATAGACAGTGTGCAGAGCATGTGGAGAAGAAGAGGAAGCAGGAGGAGGAGGAGGAGGAGGAGAACCTCAGGGTGTTCTCACTGATGTTCCTCCAGGACAGGGACGTCCACAGGTTCTGCTGATTATTTCTAGACCTGATTAGAAACAGTCTGGATCCTGACCACAAATAAATCACTGACAGATAATCAAATGAATGTAATCCAATAACAGTTCCAGGAACACATGATGGAAAAGGGCACAGATCACATGAGCTGCTGTCTCCTCACACCCCTGGAGCTCAGGCTGAACACAGAACACACACACACACACACACACACACATACACTGACTAACTCCTCGGAGCCTCGCTGCTCTCCTGCACAGAGCGTGGTGTTCTCACAGAGACGTTCTCACAGAGAGGTTCTCACAGAGACGTTCTCACCTACCTTTGCTTCGCTGTGGACCAGGGGTGGCCCAGGGATGGTCATCTGGTACGGCTTTGACTGTGGAAAGTACCAGACTCCTCTATCACATACATTGAAGCGAACAGATCCTCTTCATTGGTTTAGTTCCGCTCCACAGAAAGTCCGGTTGACACTTTGTCATGCGGCGCCGTTCTTCAAAGCGCTGCCTGGTGTGCTCCTCCTTCACTGGGTCGGTTCAAACCCCGACTCAGAGGCTCAGCTGACAGACAGCCCTTTTTAAAGACCTCCCATCTGTCTTCTCCTGGAAAAGATACAGTCGTGGTCCCTGCAGATGTCTCCACACAAATCACCCTGGTGCCGGTGTGTTAGAACTGTTTAGAACACGTCTCCACAGAGAAGAAGAAGAAGAAGAAGAAGAAGAAGAAGAAGAAGAAGAAACAAAAACAAAAACCAGTTGAAGTCTGTCAGAGTTTGATCATCGATGACACAAAGGAAAAATTAACTACAATTAGAATCATTATGATAATGAAATGGGCGTGCTCTCCCCCTCCCTCTTCCTCCCCCCT